ATATACTTTACTATCTTATTATTAAATACCTTTAGATCTAGTATCCTATTAATGTAAACCGAGTAAATATATAAGATCTATTATTATAAACTATTACCTTTTAATTTATCTTTAAACCTTTCTAATCCTCCTATTACTCTAAGCGCTAAATAGTTTATAAGTAGAATTAGTTATACTAAGTATAGCTAAACTCTATTATTTTTATAGAAGAACTTATATACTCTTTAGCCCGATCTATATACCTTTTAAGTCCCTAGTACTAATCTATACTATATATATTTTACTACGAATTTTAAGAGTAGTTATAGGATTATCTTACTCTATACTATAGGAGGTTCTATATAATCGTACTTAGTAACTAAGGGTATATATTAGTAATTAAAACTCTATTAAATCTTAAAAGTACGTCGGCTAATATACTATAATCTCAATATTATACTTTACTATAATAAGGAGTATTCGATATAAAGACGTATTTACTAGGCTTTTTGATAATTATTTATTAAAACCTACAAATACTATAGTATTATCTATATAAATATAGACTCTTTTAGTTAACTAAGATAGAGTCTACTACTCGAATGCTCCTTTAATTACCTCTATCTTTATAACGTTTATATTAAATATATTATTACTACCTTCTCGATTTATTAACTTTATAAATACTATATATTATTAGATCTCTAAGGTTCGATCTCTCTAATCTATCTATCTATTTAGATAAAAACCTCCTATCCCGTAAATTAAATTATCTATAAATAACTAAACTTCTACTCTATTTTTTATAAAAAAAGTAATACTATTAAAGTCTTAAACTATATTATACTACTACTCGATATTTTAATAAGCCTTAATTAGTATTTACTTAGCCTAGTACTTTATTACTACTAGTAGAAATAAAGTAACGTAGCTCTAAAGGTTCCTATAAAATATCTAGCTAAGCTAAATTACTAGAGTATAAAAGGTAAGAAACTCTATCAACTTTCTTATATTTATAGTAAAAGTAAGTTTCCTACTAGTATATTCGTAGTTAAATACAGTACCTTTACTACTTCATCTTATAAAATACTTAGTATAAATTCTGTTATATCTATTATATATCCTAGGACCTTAACTCGAGTTCCTTTTACGTTCTTTTACTTCTTTCAAGGTATTCTAAGAACTATTATAAATTTATTATAATTATCTTTAAACTCGAGTATTTATTCTTATAATAATCCTAGTTAAAGGATTACTATAAAGTTGTCTAAATAGTAGATTATTGTAACTAATACTCGCTGGCTAACTAAACTTGTCTGGGTGTTCGCTGGTTGGTATGCTATGATAAGAAGAAGACTATCGGGTTGTTCTCTTGGAAGTGAACTCGTTACTTGTATCAAAGATGTCAAACTAATATGATAAGATTGATAAATAAGTTGAGCACGAAGCTCCTATCTAGTGGCAGAAGTGCCAGTCTTATATAGAACCTTCGTCTCTCCTGGAGCTTGAAGGGAGCCCAAGATCCTCAAGCTCCAACCGAAGCTCCTGCAAGCTCCAATGGTCATGTGATCATATCACGTGATAATATTCAAGTGAAATCCCTGGATCGCTTAGCCAGCCCAACCGATCCCATTTGCTATAAGAGTATTCAATAGTGCTTGACCTGTCAGGACGCCGCCTGGTCTTCACTCGTTACGTGCAAACACGTGATTCGTGACAATTATATCCTCCTACTTTAAATATAATTATAATATCTAATAAATTACTTCTATAAATATATTAAAGATAAAAGGAGAGGTTTAAAGTCTAAATATTAGATAGTTCTCTTGACAAAATTAGTTATTCTATTTAAATCTAAATATCTACTAAACCTTATATATAAGTAGGATATTCCTAAATACGTCTGCTATAATACGCTTTATAATTAGTATACCTCGGACTTTTTATAGAACTATTATAATAATTTAGTATATTAATAAGTACTTTAAGTACGCTACTTCTATATTAATTCTATTATTAACTAAATCTATAGTAGGGAAGGATAGATCGTAGATTCGTCGAAAAGTACTATCTTCTTTTAGTACTAATCTAAGTAGTAAGGATATAATCTTTTAGGTAGTAGTAGTTAAACTTTCGAAATTCGTCTTAATTTAAGATCTTTTTAAATACCTACTTCTATAGCCTTTTAATTAAGATTCGATAATTTATAATTCTTTAAAATTAACTATTTCTCCTCTCTTTTATATCTAACTAATATACTAAATCGAAGGATTAATATAATATAGAATCTTAAAGACCCTAGATATTAAGCTAATAACTTTATCTATATATTAATTCTAAAGGGTAATAGCGAGTTAATTAATAGCTAAGCTAATCTATTATAATATTAAAATAAAATTAAAGTATTAGAACGTATAGATATAGAATAGTAAAGGTAACTTTATATTAATATTTAGAGTCATTCCCCTAATTATATATTAGATACCCCCTCTCTTATACTAAACCTTTATTTAGTTTTAGCCTTATCTCCTAGTTCTTCCTCTTTCTTGTTATTTAAAGCTCTATTACTTATACTAGAGCTATTAACTCTATATTCCTTAATTATATATTTCCCCTATATAGTATAAAAAATATTTAGAATAGATTAACTAAGAGGGTCTTAATCTTAGTTATTCTAATTAACTAGACCTTCTAATCTTAATTAATTACTCGATTAATTATAATCTAATTAAATTAATCAATATAGGCCGAAGTCTCGGACCGGCGGACCGAGGGCTCGGAGGGTGCTCGGAGTACTACGTAAGTACTTAGCGAGAGCTCCTATATCGTATATACTATATCTTATACTTGTCTTAACTAAGAACGTTCCTATAGCTTAGGAACGTCCCTCAATTATAAGGATATACCCTTGTTTCTAAAAAAAAAAGATTTTAATTCGACTTTTACTAATTCTCTAATTAGTTAATTATAAATCTTACTATAAATAAAAAACATATTTTACTATAAAGATTTAATTCTTATATACTCCGAGGCTAACTAGTAGCCTTTTAAAAGCTTCTCTAAGTATATTAGTAGTATTTTAAAATATATACTATTAATCTAATTAATTAGATTAAATAAACGCCTCTTAATCTATTTAGTTACCGAAAGTTCCTAATCTAATTCAAATCTATTTAATTATAATTTAGTTAATTAGTAATTAGATAATAGAGTAATTTATTCTCACGCTACCCCTATATCTTATATAATTATAATAACGTTTATACTAGGTAGTAGTATAAGTAAAATTACTAAAGTTATAATATAAAGCTAATATATTATTTAGCTCTTTCTTAAACCTAACTTTTCTAACTCTACCTCCCCGTTTACCTATACCTAATCTACTACTATTTTAGTTCGGTGTCCTCGGGTATAGACAGTAGTATTATATAATATATCGTTCTAGAAGGAGCTACTTATTAGTTTTATATAGGTTATTTTAAAACTTTTGTTTCTTACAGAATTAGATTACTAGTAGAAGGACTCCTTTTAGCTAGTTATACGATTTTGTTAATCTTGATATCTTATCGTAGAATACGATTTAAGCTCTATTTAGAGTTAGGTATTAATCTCCGAAAAAGACGTTAATAATCGATATATACTACCTAAAACCTTTACTCTAAATTATATATATATTTCTATAATCCTTTAATTTACCTTTAACCTTTATACTCTTTATCTTTCTATTATCGAATACTATATTATAGTCCCTTTTATTATTATCGAAATCTACTATAAAAGTTAATTTATAGATGTTAATTAGGTCGAATTTCTCTAGTATAATATCTACTATATATTTATAATTAATCCCCTAAAATTATAGTAGGAGTTACTTTTATTTATCTAATAGCTTACCTTTGTTATTATTATCTACTACCTAAACTCCGCCTACTCCTTATACTTATACCGATCCTACTATAGTACTAAATACTCCTCCTAGGTTATTTATAATAGCTATAATCCTTACTTACGATTCCTATCTTAATAACGCTATTTTTATATTATATTCCTCTAATCGTAAACAATCCTCTAATAATAATTAACCTTATAACATCTATTAAATTAGTAGTAATTAGTTATTTTATTATTATCTTTATAATAGTAGTAGAATTAAGCTACCTGAACCGGAGCCCGTTTATTATAGAGCTAATATATTATTAAATTATTAATTAAACGTTAAATAAGAGTATACTTTTAATCTTAACAAAAGGACCAGCCTTTTTAATAAGAAACTACTCTTTGCGAGCTTATAACAACAATTAGTAGATTTGTTATCATTATAGACAAGTAATCGAATAGATTAAACGATATATATAAGCTTGCTTAGTCACCCTCGATACGCAAAACACATTGACTCTTATAGATCAGTGAATGGAATTAGAAAAGTACTCAAACAAAATTGAGTAAGATTAACTTCACCCCTTGTAATTTGGACCCCTACTTGACCTGACGGAGGTTGGAGACGCGTCATACGATTAATATTTATTTTCGTCGATACCTTGATGCACTTATTCCATTTTTGTCGATATCTTGACGCGCTTATTCTATTCTAATCCCGTCTTTTTCATGATTTATTTTTATTGTGGTTTGCATTATTTTTGGGGTACTCATATACGAGTTGTTACATCTCATCAGACCACCACGATTACAGTACCACCAATTCACTCCGCGGCTCGCTCGCTTAAGATCTCCACCCCCTTTTTTCGATTGCATTTCAAGCATTTCTGCTAGCACTAGTTCCCACCCTTTCTTAGACGGAATGGCGGAGTGCAAGGCACTTGGTACTTGGCAGTAACGAGGAACCTGATATGGATGATTCAGAGGGCCAAGACTCGTGTCATGAATGAAACGAGAATTTGTTTCGCGAGCCAACTTCAAAAAGGCCCAATCAATCGATAACTTCAAATTTTCGACCCTCCCGATCCAAGGGAATCTTTTACCAACAGGCCATAGATCTCAGTACAATCCCCACATCCCTTACAACCATGCTGTTTCCTCCTCTCCTTGGCCATATCGCGAGCTGTCTCGCCGTCTCTCGTCCGCTTCAGTGGATCGGCACCATTCTTCAACAATCTTTCGACGGCATCAACCAGACCCAGAGAAACAGCTGTATGTAAAGGTGTTTTGGCCCTAGCTGTGATGTTTACGTTGACGTTTGCCTTCTTCTCGAGTAAAACATCCAGAATCTCGAGTTGGCCAGGAGTGATGGTTGAAGTCCACGCAGAGCAAGCGAGCGATAGCGGCGTAAGACCTTCGGAATTCTTGGCTTCTATAAGGGTACTATCTTTTTCGAGCAGCATACCGAGAGCCCAGGGATCTACGCGACGAATGGCTAGATGGAGGGGATTGTTGCCAGTTCCCAAAGGCGTCACGTTCATATTGGTATCGTAAGCTGTGGAAAGGAGTAAAGCTAAAGCTGCATGGCGATTTTCTTCGAGGGGTTTCTGTCCAGCTCCCAGCACTTTTAGAAGTGCCACATCGCCTGCTCCATCTTTCGCGTTGGGGTTGGCACCGGCTGCTAGAAGCAAGAATATCACGTTGACATATCCTGACCAAGCCTCTTGCTCGATAGCTTCTATCAAGGGAGTCTTTCTGGTTGAGCGTGCGCGTACGTTGGTGTCAACTTTATGTTGGATCAAGGCTCTTAGGCATTTAGTATGTCGAGAGCTCGCACCACGCACCGTGTGAAAGATCGGAGCAGGGCGAGGTTTTTTCACAGTACAACCTTCCCGGAGAAGCATGCGGACTACATCTGCTTTGCCGGCTTTTGTGTATCGTTCTAGGAAATTGCTAGAGCGATCTTGAAGTGGCAGCATCAGGCCGTATAGCTTCATTGATTTTCTCGTGTTTGTGGACATGACTGAGGTCGCTACACTGGAAGCGGCGTCATTGTAGACTTGTTTCATGTACACGCTGGCGCTTTTGATTTTGAAGGTAGGATGGGCTTTCTGCTTGCGTGAACTCGTTTGGCTGTTGAGAAAGTAGAGATTTTCGCTGGTGTGAGCGGTGGGTTTATAAGCCTCTGAAGGCGAGCGTGCTTGTGAAAACCAGCCCTTCAGAGGATTGGTCTTCGGACGCGACACCAGGACTATTTTGGGTGATGAAGAAAGGTCGACCGCTGGTCGTTTAGTCAATTTTGAGGTGCTCCTCATTTCTTCGACAATTTCTTCGGAATGATCTGGGTCTAAGAATGCCTTGGGCTCATCCACTCGGCTTTTTTGGTTACTGAAGCTGGTAGTTGACTTCTCGCTTTTTGCTCGCTTAGTCTTACTCCGTAGTGAATGGCGAGTCTCCGGCGTCATGTCGTTGAGAATAGGAGGCGAGATTGGTGGGTAGGTAGCATTGACCAAATCGTCCAGCTCTGACTTCCATTTTCTCACTTTATCAATATCAAACTCGCTTGCGACATACGAGACAATCCCATGACGACGTTCAAGGCTGAATCTTCTACTTCGGGAGTGGGTAGGTGCATCTTCACCGTATGCTTCCACATCACTCAGTAGGGCGTTGGTTTTCTGTTGTATTTGAAGACTTTCATCACTTCTGGTTCGAGAGAGAGTCGTCTATTGTTTTGTGATAGTAGGTTCTGTAATTCCGAAAGAGGGAGATTTGAAGGCGCCTGGATCTGGGCGATAGCATTCTCAGGTGGATTGTATAAAGAATCCTCTACCGCTACTGATTCTTCAAAAAGAACACAGGAAGGGGACGCATAGCATTTGAAAGAGCCTTGATTATGTTCTGCAGGCAATGATGCTGATGACACATTCAAGCTTGTGTCCAACTCGGGGATGGTATCAGGCGAAGATTCGAATTCGATTGGCTGATCGTTAACAAACTCAATTGCCCTTTCTACCCCTTGTCTTGCATCTACTGGCTCAGATAGTAAACAATGGGATAGACTTTCAGAAGAGGCAAATTCTGGGAATGCCCCGGTAAGCTGCATTCGTGCGGGTGGTATAAAGCTGGTGACCCGGACCATGGCAGCATCTTCTTGCACGGTTGAAGGGGGCGTGCTGAGCGCAACAGGACTATGCGTATTTGACCTTTGCGTTTCTGTGCCGGGTAGGGACTCGTCTGCTGCTGGTATACTAGAACCTGAAAAGTAAGAATATAACAGTTTGAATGCTTGCTTATGAAGTGGTGAACGGCTATACGGTTGAGTACCTTTGACAGGGTCAACCGCAATTTCTAGCGTTGACAATCCTTCGCCTGATGGATGACCAGTTTGGGGTTTATTATCGTTATTTGAGTCCGGGGTACTTATGAAAGCTGGTCGTATCGTTTTGTCATCCTTTTCGAAGTCCGAATTTTCGCAGTCTGAGGATGTGTCGGACTCAAATGACCCATCGGAATGACAGCATTTGTTACAGAACATGCCATCTGCAGCTTGCTTAATGCTTTGAAATAAATCAGGTGCAGTCGGGGTCTATCTTTCGCCTTTTCCTCGAGCATATCTTTCATCCATTGCATTGGAGAATTGTCGGCTTGGGATTGTACCGTTCTGCTGAGGAACTCCATCCATTTCACGGCGCCTTGAATGTTTCCAAACACGTACTTCTCGCCTGTTCCATGTTGCGTCAAGAAAGTTTGCATGTCATCCAGAGACTGGCCACGAAGGACGGTGGTCATTTCCAAAAAGGTAACTCCTAGGGACCAGAGATCAGATGGCTTTCCTCTGGGAAGACCACGAGAAACCTCAGGACTTTGGTACCGACAGTCCTTGCCTTGACGGTTCCTTTAGTCACACTCTTATCGTCGTCGAACTCGATTGCGGTTCCGAAGTCTGTAATATAGATTTCATCTCGTTTCAAAACTATATTGTTGGGTTTGATATCTTTGTGACGAATATTATTCTCGTGCAAGTAGGCTACTGCGCTTGTAAGGCAACCATAATAGGTTCGGAAACGTTCTCTTTCTGATCCAATAAGCGGTTTACCGCCATAATCTAGGAGATATCGCTTCAGATCCTGGTCAGCTATAGGTTTCATAAGGATGGCGAGATATTTCTTGTCGGTGTATGAAGCAAAAACTTTCACGAGGTGAGTGTGGTCAAGTTTTCTGAGTATTTGGAGTTCATTCTCAAATTCTTTCAGAATCCTCTTTCCTCCGTTCAGGTCTCTCTGTCGATGAAAAATCTCTTGCGCGCGTACTCTTGTTTTGTCATCCTGCTCCGAACCCTATCGACCTTGCTATCACCATGATTAGCTTTTTTTTTTCAAAGGCTATATCTTGGTAATACACACGCCTCTCCTCCTTTGCCAAGCCTCCCTAGTGTGTCCAAGAAATTATCCCCTGATTCCACTAGCATATGTTTACTATTCAACCCCTTCTCCTTGTGGCATGCCGCTGAAGTAACATGTGTTTGTAGTTCCAGAAACAGAGAACAGGCATCGTGCTCTCCTCGCATCAGTGGAGGTAATGATTTGCGGTCCGGGTATGGAAGAGAATTGTCCAGAAGGCCAGCAACAACAAACGAAATCAATAAGTCAACTCTGTTCATATGGAGAATGGCATAGGTTCGAGGTCGATAGCTAGCATCGTGATTCTCTAGACACCTCAGACATGCTGCGATGCTTTCAAACTGTTCATCGGAGATGACTCCAGCTGGGTCGGAAGGCTTGCAGCATAATTTTCGCAATTGATCCCATGTCTCCTGATTAAAATCACTGTTGCGAGCCTCAAGAGATGCCATCGTGGATCCAAATTGATGTCTAGCGTGCGAGGTACCCCATTGATGAAATGGCCTTTCGAACGAGGCTGTAGTATCGAGGAACGGTTGTGACGTGGTGTGGCGTATATCAGGTTATGTTCCGTTGAGAAGGAGCGATCCCGAATTGAGCGCTTTGCATGCATCCATATTGTGCTACGTTGCCATTGAACCCCCATGAATGAGGCTGTGAACCTTTCCCCGCACTTCGTACTTTTTTAATGTTTTGACCGAACGACCTTATCCGGCAGTGGCTTGCCATTGATATGAGATACGAGTAGTGAGGATGGCAAGCGGACTTGATGTGGCTGCCGCCGGCGTAGGATTTGTCTCCCTTGGGGTCATGTTACTACAAGGCTGTGTTCAAGGCTTCGTGCTCCTCTCCACAGCACAAAACTTTGGCACAGATGCCGACCTAGTCAGATGCGAGATCGAGTTTGAACAGTATCGTCTCTTTCGCTGGGCTGAGAAAGTTGGCTTGAACGGTCCCTCGCCAAATCGATACTTGAACTGGCAGGTGATCACTGATCATCTCCGAAACTTGGAGACGCTTATGACCAGCACTGCGAATATCAAAGAAAGATATGGCTTGGATCTTGTTCTCACCGACGAGTTCATAACGCCAAATAATTCCGAACTCCCAAAGAAAGGGTGGTGGAGGATCCTGGCATCTGTAAAATCCGACGCCCTTAGCGATACTCCTCGGAAGTTGCAAAAGGATACTCGAATATGGAAGCGACTGAGGTGGGCCGCGATCGATAAGGAAGGAATGGCATTCCTGCTTAATGACATTCGTTCACTTGTGGACAATCTTCACGAACTTCTTGAAACTGAAGATCGAAAATTTATGCGAAGTGGAATGGAGGCAATACTGAGACATGTTGTCTCTCAAACCACGGATTCGTCAGAGCTGGCAATCATAGAACAGCTTCTGAGCCCTCGTTACGGCGTTCGGTCAAAACTTGAGGATAGTGCAATCAAAACGGCAGCTAGTATTAAACAAAAGAGACTTATGCTTGGATTTGGCGAAGAAACTTCACCAGACACTGCTTCCGCCAGTTCCTCCACCACAACACTGGTTCCAGACAGTGGCTCAAGTTTTACTCAGTCAAATTCTCGGCGGCCCTCACCAGGTGCCAGGAGAAGCAACGCGGGAATGGGCATTTCAGCAAGAGGACCACTGTCATACAATTTATTGAGGAGGGAGATGTCTATGGATTCTCAAACACGGGAGGTTGCGATATATGATGGCAAGACTGTTTTGGTTGAATGGAAGACGGTCGAGCGGGGACTCGAGTCTAAATTGAAGCATCGAGTCAAAAGTCTGGCTGCCTTGCTTCAAGTCATTGATTGCAAGACCTTTCATTCGTTAAGATGCTTGGGGTATTTGAAAGATTCCAACAGCGGTGCTTACGGATATATTTTCCAACCGCCATTCGAAAACTCAAATGCGTTTATGTCTTTGCATCAAGTTTTGAATATTGACATGTTGCCCTCACTGAATGAGCGCCTGACGTTAGCAATTGTGTTGACCGAGACTGTTTTACAACTACACACATCAGGCTGGCTTCATAAAGGAATCCGCTCCGATAACATTCTCCTCTTTCCTAAAGATTCGGTTATCGACCTTACTCACAGTTTCCTCGAAGGATATGAGTATGCAAGAACCGACAATCCTTCCGAATTGACTGAATTCGCTGAGCTACAACAAGAAGCAGATTTATATCGCCACCGGGATCTTTTAAAGCCCGATAGGTCATCCTTTCGTAAGGCTTTTGACCTCTACGCACTTGGGTGCGTGCTCGTTGAGGTTGGTCTGTGGCAAAACCTAACAACGATCTTGTTGCATTTTCTGCGAAACGAAAAGATGAACGGCGGTAGCTTTCCTTGCAGACCTCCTGTTCAAAGATTGGACTACGCAAACAAATATGAAATGGCAGAGGTCAACAAGTCCAACAGCAGGCTACTTAAAGAGACGGGGGTTGGTAGTATTCTAGCAGCACTGGAGTTCGCTGCCGGTCGGAGATATGCAGAGGCCGTAAGCTTGTGCCTCAAAGCTGGCGATAGAGCCAAAAGTTCCAAAGGTTTGGATTCTGATGATGGTTTAGACGAGTTTGAAGACGATGATCGTTGTCTTAGTATAGAGATTGATGTACTTGACATGTTAAAGAGCTGCAAAATATGATTAGCCAGTTTCAAAAGAGCTTGTCCAATATCACGTCAACCAATATCACGTTGACTTTGCGTGATCACATATGTGGCTCGGAAAGTGGCGTGGAAATATCAAAAACAAACAATTCTCATCAACGTAATGTATAATCTCTTTTTTCCCTACTCACCGGGACTCAAATGCTTACAATTGATGTAGTTGAGGATCCAATGTGTCCGAGCTCCCCACCAGAACCGACAAGCAGAATGCTTTTCAAGGGAATATCTCATTTTCGATAAGAATCCAGGAAGTGTTTGGATCCAGAAGTTGGTACTGTAGTGAGCATACCAAATGCCAAATTTTGGCTGAAATTTGGATCCCTTCAGGATCGACATGAATATATTCAAACGTGCACCGAAAAGTGGGTATAAATAATGGCATCAACCCTATTGCAGTACGTGCACTCAATTGCAAATTCCATGACACGACGTTTACCCGCCTTCCAGTACACCTTTAAATATGTATATCCAGGCTGGAAGGCATTCAAGGGATACAAAGCCCCTTGATGACTTATCCATACGTACAAGTTTTGCATAGTAAGCCTCTGGCTTCTTTGTCGTAAAAACTCGACCAGAGCAGCCACAAACAGCTTCGATCGCCATCGCAAAAGCAAATAACACGACTGCGATCCTTTAGCAAGTATGGTGGTGGACGACAAGTGCGTACCCCTTTTTCTCTCTGATGATGCCGGGAGAACCTCGCCAGTATTCCGACACCAGCGGCTGACAACGATCGCAGATTTATTGGTATGGCATTAGCCATATTGGCTTCTTGCGCAATTGGTATGAATTGCAATTTTCTTCTTTTTCTTGCTCTGAAACTAAAATTAATCGTATACTAACATTGTTATTTTTGTCAGGCTCGAGTTATGTCATCACGAAAACGGTACGCATTAGTTGCCTCTCCCCTATACCTATACATCTCCGTATGCGCTTCAGGACTTGATAAAATCGCAAATAAATGATTGGTCGAGCTGTGTGATGGAGAATTGTGTTCTGATATATCGTTGAAGTAGGGCCTCGCACAAGCAGCGCAGCACTATGGCTTTACTGGCGATGGCCATGAATATCTGCGAAGTCCCATGTGGTGGTGCGGAATGCTCATACGTAAGCAAGAATACGATCCCAGAATTAGGTTCGACAATTGCTGACACAACCCAGTTGTTTCAGGGGAGATAATGAATACCATAGCGTATGCTTTTGCGCCGGCAATTTTAGTCACTCCCTTGGGTGCTCTCAGTGTTTTGATAGGGTATAAGGAATTGCAATTTTTCTTGAGACTGTAGATCGCTGACAAGTTAGCAGGACTGTAATGGGCGCATATTTTCTGCATGAAGAAGTTCGTACCTTGGGGAAGCTCGGTTGCGCAACATGCCTTTTGGGCTCTATCATGCTCGTGTTGCATGCTCCGCCAGACAAGGTAAGTCCTATTTTCCTGAGGGAAAAGTTCTTTTGTCAAGTTATATGACTGAGGTGCTCTTCGATTTCCACACTGTTCCCAATTGATTTGAAAATCTAAAGAATAATGCTGACTCAAATTACTCGGATAGGATATCCAGGGGATTGACGAAATCATCCACTTGTCCATCCAGCCATGTAAGGTTCACATCTAAATTCAACTCGGACTCGGATCTAATGACCTTATAGTTTTTCTGCTTTACTGCGCTTTTGTCACGATTTTTTCTTCGTACATGGTCTATGTTGTTGCTCCAAAATCCGGCAGGACGAACCCACTTGTTTATATCTCGATCTGCTCTTTAGTCGGGTCTATATCGGTCATGGCAGTAAAAGCCTTTTCGATTGCTGTCAGGCTCACAGTCAAGGGAGAGAATCAATTCTCGCATCCTTCAACCTACGCCTTTCTAGTCGTTCTTGTCGTATCCACCTTGACACAAATGAATTATCTTAACAAGGCAATGGACATGTTTCCAGCATCACTGTTTGTTTCCCCTTCTAATATCGACGGACGTTAAATGATTCTGTACTAACTGGCGTCCAGCATCAATGCTATGTATTATGTTGTGTTCACAACTTGCACTCTCTGCGCTTCGTTCATCCTTTATGGCGGCTTCAACACATCAGAAGCCATGACGACACTTTCCCTAGTCTGCGGGTTTCTTCTCAATTTCTTCGGCATCGCGTTGTTGACGCTCTCCAAAACAGATTCTCGCTCAGATGAATACACGCTGGGCGGGGGCAGCGATGGAAATAACAATTTTCCCCTGAGTCCGATGGCTAGTCCTATCGAATTGAGGAACTTGGGATATGGCCGGGTGTCTACCGCGAGGAGAGATGAGTTCAATCGAGACAGCGAGGAGGGCTATAGACACAGAAGTGCTAGTATTCGCTGACACTTTTTGGCGGCGAGGGGAAGAGGAGGATCTGTATGAAGAAAGGAACATCGGCATGGGTAGTACTTGCCACACGACAAAATACCAAGATTCTGGTAAATCAATGGATATGGGAAATGGGAGCTAGCCGTAAGTGTATTCAAATGTACCGGTCATCTATCGCTGGAATTTAGACACTTTCGACCAGGAGATCAACTTTTCCAAAAATCTTATCAAGCTTCGCGTTCTTTTGCCAAAGTATCTCTCCCCTTGTTTCACCCTTTTCCTTCGATTTAGCATCGTATCGCTTAAAATACTCGATCCTGTGCTCCGGAATAAATTCTTCAGCCGTAGTATCACGATCCCAATCTGCAGCAGGTTTCTCAAGAACTTTCGCTTTGACACGATCCATGTATCCGATAACCCACTCGTCAAGGTTGTATTTTTTGTCGAACCTTAAGCGAGCGAGGACTTCTGTGGCGGGGCGGAAACGATCAGCTTTGACCTTGATGGTCATGTTCTCGATCTCTTCTTCAACATATTCGAGATCGTTAGTACTACCCCATTTGCGATTCAGCTTTTTATTCGGCTTTGGCTTTCTTCTTTTCTTGATAGTCTCGTCGCTATCGGAGTCAAAGTCGCTAACTTTTTCACCCGTAAGGACTTGACGGGGCCATCTTTTTGTGCAGATTATGAGGTCTGAGTGGTTATTGATGGCAACCCTGACAAAACGGTCGCCTTGTTCTTCATCAAGATAGTACGAAGTAAATAAATCATTCAAATATGTTCAGATCCATTCAAGATCATGATCTATGAGCGGGGTATCCGATGGCTGGATTCCGAACACAAAGATTCCTTCATAGACATCATCGGAAGGTGTGGCATCTTTCTGAACGAGTCTTTGGGGCCAGATTTTGACGCTGACTTTGCAAGGAATCCTCATTGGGAGTTCTGACTGATGTTAGCGCTTTTTTGAGCTCAAGAAGTTAGAAAGCAAACACATACTCTCCTTGAACTCAGTCAGCGACTTCTGCACAGTGAGCAACCACTGAGCGCCTTTCATCTGTGATATCCCATTGTACGTCAAATGAGCCTGCACGATATGCGCAACATCCATCTTTTTACTTAATGGCAATTAATTCAGTTCCAATAGCATGTTCTCCCACTCTTCTGTTCCAAAAGAATCGTGCTTCGCTGGATCCGCATATGCCAGTAGCGGATCAATCTTGTTTGCCATATGTTTGAAAAATTGTTTGATAAGCGCAGATGAACTTGGAACCCCATTTTCGCCAGCAGCGACTAGTTTCGGATCTGTCTTCTGGTACTCTAGAAGAAGCTTGAAGATTTGGGTATCGGGTAGCTCTTGAGCAAGACCGCGGATAGATACCCATCTTCTGATATAGGAATACGATGTACGGATCGCTGGGAATTGATCAAAGTTCTTTCTGATTTCTACGCCTCGTCTCATCATTTTAACGACCTCTTGGACTGCTTCGGGGACCCAATTCTTTTCATCTTCCAAAAAGTCGTCTGGGGCCTCTTTAACTTTGGGATACCTAGATAAGTCAGCAAATGAAAAAGGATCTCCAAAATAGTTCTTACTCTGTGACAAGTGTATCACAACCACCGATGTACTTGATTTCAAAGAGCTGGTTTTGGAAGCAGACCAGGAAGCTGGGTGCCTCTGATTTTTCTGCTTCATAAACAGCCAATGTTTCCCAGCTTGTTTTGTTCTCCTTTTCGACAATATCCCAGAAAATGTCGATGAAGCTATCTGATGATATGTTTCCAAATACTATGCATTTGAGGATCTCTTCTTCGAATGGTTCCAGTCCCAACAAGAGGGCATGAACAGGTGAGAAGGAAAGACATGGAAGTGCAGTTTTTCGTGCTTTCTTGGTACTCGTTGATCCAGGATCCTCATCTTCTGAAATATCATCACTAGAGGAGTCCAAGTTCCCTCCTGAGCGGTTGCGGATGTGGAGAGGACCATGAGCCATGACGTAGGTTCGCCATTTGCTTGAAGTATGAAGGGACGTTACCATGTGGGCTGCTGAGATTGCAATGCAAAGGAGGTGACAGCTGTGAGTTGGAATCGTAACTCGTTCTCTGACTTGGAATTATGAGAAAAATAAAGAAACCAAGCCAAAATTCCTGAGTCACTTGCCGAGTCTTTACTGTGCTCGAGAGATATAGGGAGTTGTTTGTGGCTGCGCCCACCAATCGTCATGTCAAATGACTCAACATTGTCAACACCCGGGCCATGCTCCGCCGGCTTCAAAGGCCATGGAATTCACTTACAGTCACATAAAAAGGATCAAATAGTTTTAGTCAGGTAGTACTAGTACAAGTTCAATAAAAAGACATCTGAAATTGGAGTATGAAACGGAAAAGGGTCGGGAGATACAGGGCATGTAACCTGGAAGGCAATCCGCAATCATGTGACCTACAAGAAGAAGAAAAGGATTTAGCAACCTCGTTCTGGGGACTTTCGTTCCCTTTAAATTTATGACCAGCTCAAGAATTCCAGTTTTGACACTGCAGGTACGGATGGTTTAAGCGGGGGTAATAAACGTGATATCCCACGTGATCTTGAAATCCTAACCCAACCTTATAGAAAATTAGTGGGGCGAGTGTAGTCTCGATAGATGGTTAGACAAGGGTTAAAGTAGTTTAATATTAGGGGTAGTAAGAATACTAGAGAGATAATTATATACGCGTTTAAGAGCTAAGAACTTTTAAGAGTTAAGTCTTAGTTAAAGGTTAATTTTTTTTCTTAAGCCTTAGGCTACTATTTAAGAGTATAGGCTTAAGAGGTCCTAGTATACCTTTAAGAAGTACCCGGCGTATACTCTCTTAGGTACGTACTACTATATAATACTACTATATAATACTACTATGTAATCTTAGTATAAGAGTCTCTTTTAGGATCCGAGGGACGAGGAATAAATTATATCGAGACGAGAGGATATTAAACTAGATTAACTACTACGCTATACTACTATAAGAAGGCTAACCTACTAGTATATATATATATAACGTGGTTTATCAGCGAGTCGATCATATCACCGAGTCGATCACTTTTTCTTGGCACAGAACTTTACACCTAAATAAATCAACCACAACAAGTTATTAATTTTAGCTAAATTAATTAAATCTATAACTTATTATTTTATTATATTAGTATATATTATATATATATATAATAGTAAGTATAAAATCTACTCCTACGTGTGACGGTTCTAACCGCCACTACACCTCAGACCAGCCTCTGGCTGGAACCCAGCAGATACCGTGCTTCCTGAGCCCGGCTCAGTTAGCCATGGCTTGGCACAACCTCCTGTATATAAGAACCTCTGGCTCCCGAGCTCTGCTCTCTTCTCTTCTCTCCTTAGCTTAGAATCTTCGAATAGACAGTTCTACGATTCCATAACCTACACCTTGGACGCTCCTTGAGCAACATATCGTACGTGTCGTCACACTACGAGTAGTAACGTAGTATTATAAAGTTTCCCCGACTACTATATAGTCTCCTATAAGGCTAAAAGTCCCTTAATTATTAAGGGATTACTAAGAGCTAAGGGGGTTAATAGCTAATTAGTACTTAAGGGCTAAGCTTACTTAAGAGCTTATCTCTTTTTAATAGTTAAAAAGCTTAGCTATTACTAAAGCGCTAAAAGGAGTTTAACTATCACGCGATAATTAAATTTGATTAGTTATCTGTCGAGCATCTGTAGAGAATGCACTTAGCCCACCAGTTTTCTATAAGGAAGTTAAGGTTGCCATTGACGACCTCAGCCATCTAGTCATCATACCCGAGAGCGCGACCAGACTTTATCGTCACTCGCTATACATCCATGGTGAATGCTTGGTCAGTTGGGTTCATATTAAGGTACCGAGGCCGTGGATCTCCCTCTTCATTTCAGCCCGGATTATACTTCTGGGGCGAAGGGTGGTTCTTTTCCTCTGTGTCTTCCCTTTGGTCTTGGCGCTAAGTAGTGCGAGTCTGACCCTGTATTTCAGAATACGCTCCGTAAGGGAAGGAGCATGTCTTTGTTTGGACAGGTCAAAGCGAGGCGAAGTGAGGCGAGAGGGTAAGGGAGCGAGAGACGTCGGGAGATTAGTCCAAAACCAAAACTAAAAGGGAACCTTGCCCAAGTACTTACCATACGCAACCAGGAGCTGCAGTACTTACCCATAGGTAGGTAGTCTTGTCGACCACAAGCAAAATCGCCTAGGGCAACCCCGTGGTCATTAATTCACTGCCTTGGAGCTCAATATCCACGCCTCTGGATACGCTCGAGATACCCACCTTCCCAACTCTCGCTTACTTACCTCAAGGCCAAAAGTCATAAGAGTTCCCATAATATGGCATCTACGCATACTTGAAATCGCAGTCTTTCTTCTCTCCTGGCTTATTAGAACACTTTAAGGTCGCACCATTGCCCCTTAGGAATCAGACTTTATCCTACGGCTTTAAATCTACGGGTCGAACGCGGTAGGCCCGACGTCGCCAAGTTAGATACTGACCGAAACTCAAATATTTCTTTCTTTCCTTCATTTCTCTACTTTTGGTATGTTGTTCTTTTCTTAGAGGTTTCCTCGACCGAGATATAATCGCCATCTTTAGTGAAGGAAAGCCAGGGAACTTCCAAGAGGTCTTTCAAGTGATCGAATTTCTCTTAATAATTGTACTTCTCAACAACTCGTTTCTTTCTCCATTCCGATCTCAAGCTTCAAAATGCCAACGCATCACGGGGCTTATGGTTCTGATACTTCGGATCGTTGTCTCCATCCTGCTCTTATTGGTGCATTTGATACCTCTCGTAAACCATAGCCCGTAAGTCTCGCGCACCCGTCAGTCCTTTGGGAGATGATATACATGCACTACTACCTTGCATATGCGCATGAACATGTCGCGCTTTTCGATCGACAGTCAACTGTTCTCAGTCTATGCAGCAATTTAAACGGATTGCGGCGTAGGATCCTATTTGGTTACCGTTGGAGGTTGATCTTGCCTTGTTTCGTCGTATAGCTTTCCAGCTTTGGGTATTATTTCTGGAATACTCAAATTTTCCTGCATGTTTGAAGGGGTTCTTCACATTTTTCTTGGTAGCCTGATGTGTAAAGTGAAGAAAGATTTGCATCCAAATACCTAGTGTGGTCTTTTTTCTTTTTTTCTTTTTTTGGCAGTTTTACCTTCGATTCCATCTTTAATACATTTCTAGGGAAAGGTGGGGGATGCAGTGAGGTGGATCATCCTTTCTGAAAGATTTCCCTCTCCTATAGTACCTTGACTTAACAATCTATCTCTCTGTCTCTCTCTCTGATTCTCTCGAGGGCATTTCTGGTGTTACGAAAACTTTCATTTGGTGCAGAAGAGACCATGAACCAACAGATAAATGCTTCGCCGTTTGGAAATCTTACACTGCTTCCTCCACCCCCAGGAGTTCAGTCAAATTTCGACCATCCTGTGTCGAGAGCATTTGGAGCTCATGTTTCTATGGGGATATGTTTGGGAATAGCCACCTTTTTTGTACTTCTACGTTGCTATGTGAGGATTTTGTTGCATAAAGCTTGGGGTTGGGATGACTGTGAGCTCGTCCCCCCTGTTACCTTCGATCTTACCTTAAGAATGATTCCCCAGCGTTATGTCTCATAGGACTGGTACGTGACCCTTAGCTGCATTGATTTATTGATTTATGTGGTACGGGTGAGCTGACTAGTCGAAAATAAGATTGCCATGGCTTCATTCTGTGCGGTGGTATTTGAGAGTAAGTAGTTATTCAACTTCCAATCACTTCTGCCTGCAACTTAGGACTCTCAGTCTCTGGGCCTGGGAAATTCTTCGGTGTACATGGCTGGGATATTCGTGTGAGCGATCTATCAGGAAGCTTCTTCCGGGTGAAGTCCCACACCCCCCCTGGCAGCTCAAGCGAGGCTAATTTCACGTTCATCTCTCAGTCCAATATTGCTGCCATCATTCTCCAAGCGGTTTCGGCCCTCTTCATTAGAATCTCCCTATTAATCTCCCTATTCCTTTTTTACCTTCGTCTCTTTAAACCCAACCGTCTGACTCGAAACCTCAACTACATCGGCATTGGCGTTAGTCTCCTATTCTACATAGTGACTGCAAGCATCATCTGCAGATTCTGTGTACCACCTCCTGGGCAGCATGAGACGGACTTCACTTGGTTGTTACGTTACCAAACTTGTCGTCCTCAAGTTACCAATACCGCAGTGGCGCAAGCTGTCTTCAGTGCGTTGAGTGATATCTACTTATTGTTTATACCAATACGCATGATTTTCAATTTACATCTTCCTATGGAGAAAAAAGTAGGAATCAGTGCGATATTTTTGGTGGGATTATTCTAAGTTACTTCTATGCAGAAATCTATATCGAGTCTTATGTCGCCATCTACTCCTTCTGTGTACCCAAAAGCGTTCTAATGATATTTTCCAGGGCCGTCGCATGCTCAATAGCTAATCTTGCCGTTCGAATCGCCACGTTCAATAACCTGGACGTAATGTGGGGTAACATACTACTCTCCATTCTTGCTGCAGTCGAGATATGCGCAGGTATCATCTGCGGCAGTAAGCCTATTCTAGTAACTCTTCTGAATCCTAGGAAATCCTCGAGGTCAAACACATATTTGACAAACAGGAACCGTTATTCTAGAACGCCATTTTCGAGGGCGGCTTCCAGCGGTGGGGAGAGATTCGTCGAAGTCGAAACAGGGAGTGCTGAAATACTACATGGTGCGATGGGACATGGACATGGAAGGGATGAGACTGGAAAGTTGGGTAGTGAACAGTGGATGGAGATGCGAAATAGTCAGGGAGAACGTAGAGGAGATTGAAGAGAGGGAGAGTCAGGAATGCAAGCGCACACGGGTTCATCTGGAGTATGTTTCTCACTGGCTTCGGTAATATATGTAGATCGCTCCAAGCTTAAATCTTATCTTCGGACACTGGATATAAAAGCAGACCTCTTGAGAGCTCTGAAAGACAACAAAATTAGCTGTAAACATTCTGTTGTGCTGGGTCTACTTTCTCTTTTGCTCCACTTCCTTATTTGATCCACTTATAGTTCTGCTGCCTAAATGCTTCATGTCTGCCTAAACCTTACACTCTTTATATAAACACCTTAGGTAGCTACCTTTTACAATGCAATCAATTCTCCATGACCTTCAGTACCCAATACCCTTTCAACCCAATAACATTCTTATTTTGGCTTGCGGTGATTTAGTGGGTTTCGATGTTCAAAAATGACAATTCTGAAATTCTAGCACAATCGAAGTATTCGAGCTGGTAAAGACAACGATGAAAACACTCGTGGTTGATAAACTCTTTTGACAATTGGACTGCATACCGGCAATTTATGTCTACCTGGTCGCGAGATATTCGTCACAAACAGTAGCAATGAATTCAATAGTGAAATTCAGAAATGTGATGGTTGGAGAAGGTTCGGGAGGATCGAGTTTTTGTTTGCTTAAACCCATCACGCCTCCCCTGCAAATTTTGCAGCTATATGTTTCGAGGTTTGAAATTTATGTCGGGGCTGTTGCCCTTCTCTACAAGACATATCACTGGCTCATTGAGCCTGATTCCATATTCTTAGGCCAAAGGAATCATTCTTCTTATCCTATCCTCACGCTTTACTCTTAAGTGCCTTCGCAGCGAGCTTCTCTTTTGTAGTCGCAACAGCAATTGACACATCCTCTTCCAAAGACTCCCAGAAAGGTTTTTGTATAGGCTTCCAACCTAGTGCTTTTGCTCTAGCAGCAATAGCCCGTGTGTTCGAACCCCACAAATATCGTGCAATTCTTGGTGCATGCGGTAAAATGCTCCCCACTTGCTCCGCGGTCCATGAAACGGGCTTTGCATCCTTGAGAAGCCAACTTTGCGCAACACCGAGTTTGGTAATTGCCTCCGCTAGCTGTTTGATTTGTACTGGTGTCTCGTTGAGACAGATATAGAATCCCTATGCTATGTTAGATTGGAGGAATGACCTTGATTTTATGGTGGTTACCTCTTTTCCCCATTGTGCTTCTCCGCCACCTCGGATCGCATGCTCGAGTAAGAGTATGAAAAGGGTAGCGATATCTTCAACATGAACAACATCTTTGGTGTTTTCTCCAGCTCCGAGGAAAAAGGTCTCCTGACGGATCATAGCTGTACTGACATAGAGTGGGACCTGTTTCAACGTTAATTGGGCTCTTTTCTTGACCTGATTTTGCAAGCAAAATATCGGTCACTATTCATCACAGAAAATTGCTTACCATGAATGTTCCACGATTGGCAACGCCACTAGCTTGCCCATAAACATCTGAAGGACATATACAAGCAGTTTTGCAAAATTCGTTTGAAGCGTCCATGATTTGTCTATCAATCTTGTGATGGAGTGCTTCCTCGGGTAAGTCATAGATCTTTTGGATATGCTCGATATCGTTCCAAGTCCATGGATTGAGTTTCCCATCCCAAAGATTAGTTCTTTCATCAGATAAACAACCTGTCCCTGTGAGATGAAGCAGAAAGCTCTTTTCTTGCCTCTTGGTTCTCATACCCAGTCCTGATAGTATCGCATTCACGCATCCGGGATGATCCATGTCCCCAGCATCTAATCAAGTCAGCTACCTCCATTCTCTTCTGCTAGAGAAAAAGAGGTGAAAACTTACGGACAATTACCTCTGCGTTTGAGGCTGCTGCTTCGATCACTGGGAAATTATCAAAGTCCCCTTTGACGATCTTGACTTTTGGGTAGCGAGTTGTGAATTCTTCGGTTATGGTTCGAAGAAGTGCTGTTATTTCTAGGGCTGGATTCTTGACCATAGCCTCCATAATACATCCTCCAATATACCCCGTGGAACCGGTTCTACAAAAGCCTCGTCAGTCTCATCGAAGCTCAGATTGAGGGTAACTTGTCTTGCTTCTCCTACTCACATGAACACTTTGGTCGACATTTTGACGAACTTGCTAGCTTTTTGGTTTGTCGGTTGTGATCTCGGTCTCTCAATCAATCTCAATTCGAGGATTTTCAAGCAAGTTAGTGGTAAAAGCAGTCAGCATATTGCGAGTGAAATTTTTGAGCGGTGGGCGGTTAAGTTTTGCCAAGTCCCCCTTCGTCGCTTAGCATAGTTTTCACATTCAAGATCCTTTAAAACTGTAATACGAGGTACAACTGGACTTCTATCTTGAATTAGACCAATCATATGTGGAGAAAAGTCTAGACCAATCTTCTAGTCTACATGGAACAACATTTGAGACACAGATCTCTGTGAAAGATAGCAGAATGGGGATATTCGGCAGTTGAACCTTGAGTACCGAGGCGATTTGGGGAGTGGAGATGTCTGCCGTATCCACTTCAACGTGGCAGCACGAACTCTGAAACTTTATTTGTACCATCGAAAGAACGGTCTGATAAATGCATCAACGACCTAAGGGGTATTTCCCGTTATTGTGTCACTAACCCTGCATAGAGTAGACGTCACCCTTTGCGTTGATTGTGAATCATTGCCAATTGTTGTTTTGAACTGTTGTTAAAATACTTGATCCAAGAGTCTGTCGATATTATTATACCTTAAGATCATGCAAATAGCGCATTGTATACTGTAGGTCATCCCAGACACCATCCGCGTATTGAGCCAAGCAGCCCGTAAACCTTAAAAAGACATGACCTTTCCCTTACTTTGTAACACCTGAGAAACCGGTAGGCAGAATTTCCTTATTAGGATTAGTCAGTACTATTCTACCAGTCTAAAAAAGTTTAATTAGCGCGAGTACTAAGGCTGAACCTAATTAGGACGTTCTACCTACCGATTTCTTAGGTATTATATAGTAAGGAATACCTAAGGATATTACAAAGTAAGGTAGAGTATCCCCTCAACACTTTATATGTACGTCCAGCGTTTTAAGTTTGCGATTTCCTAATTGAGCGGTCGGAGCGATCGGAATAATGCCTAGACGCGCTACGGGGCTTGGCCCGACTTTCTCCGCACCAACCAAGAAATACTATTGTCGAGGGCCAAGTCTAAAAGTGGGTATCGCAAACCTAAAACGCTGGACGTACATATAAAGTGTTGAGGGGATAATATTTCTACTACTAAAAGATTAGCGAAAGGACTTTTTACCTAGGGCTAATATATCGTCCTTGATATCGTGCCGCTACACGTTCTACACATTCTATTTTTAGCTCATTTTAACGTTTCTTTCTCTGTTTCCTACTACCTAGGTTATAAAGGAAAGGCCTTGGATTTTGAAAGGGTTGTTTTGACGTTTTTGTCTCCCTAAGCTAGACACATCAATTCTAGGGAGTGAGTCAACTAATTTTGATCAAGAACGCGCTACTCCGGCACGATCGCTTAAGGTTTCAGGCCCAAATTAGCCTGGAGCTATAGCGTCTATGCCCTAAAGGCTTAACACACCGAAAATGTTTTTAACTTAATATTCCAGCTCATAGTCGGTACATTCTTCCTCTGCGCCATTGCTTAAGTAGTATAGCACATGAGCCACACTTGCCACGCGGCTCTGAGTGTCAGTATTGCAGATCTTAGAAGCACTTCTCTCCCACAAGATGTTAAGGCTTAATGTTGGCGGAAAACAGGCTCTAGAAGAATCAAGTTTGCATAATGTGGTTAATAGTGCTACATTTGTTAGGGAAAACAGCCAATGTCTCTACCTACTGTTTGTTTGCGGGGTTTAGACATGCGCACGCTTTCAGATGAAATTTCTACTTATCGCTTATTACCTTGCTTGTCTATTGTTAACTCATACTAATTCAGGTTACTTCCTGAGATTATGTTACTAGTTACTTAGCAATATTTGGTATATTCTACAAATATGAGTGAACCTATAGCCTCGGAATACAAGCCTTCTATAAGAGCGAGAAAAGTGCAAGTAATAGCAATAGACAAGTCAGAATAAATAGAGATTATCGAAATGATTTTAAATATACATCTAACGCGCTTATCTCGGCTAATCAAAATTTCCAACAGAAGTGGGGCGGAAATCTGTCGTCGTAACTTTGTTTACCAAAAGCGATTACTCGACCGAATCAGGACGAAATTATTTCTTAGGTTTAATTTGAAACGACCATTTCGTGGTTCTTCTAGATATGTGCTCTAGTAATAATTCATTAAATAGTAAGAAAGCTTAATCATTAACAATAATTAAGTGATAGTTTACTTGTAATTTAGATGCGTGAAGTTCATGAACTTGTTTCTAGTATGAAAGACTTTATTTATCTATTCGCTAAAAACCATCTCTTATACTTAATCTCTTGATTATTTAATTCATTTTAGGGTAATAAAAGTATTTGAAAACTCATTAGACAAACATAACTATCGTTAAAAAATCATTTATTTAAAAAGCTTCTTTCATCTCAAAGACTTGGGAGAAGATAAGATTCTCAAGCCAAATCCGAGGAAGCACAGTACGTAGTGCAGCATATCGCTTTACTCTTCCCCCAGGAGGTTCGAATTACCGTAAATGCCCAATCCACTACCTATCTGCAGCCTCATCTAGGAAAAGGCAACCGAACTGCATTCCACCATGGTAAAGTAACACGCCTCAATGCGGGACATAATCTCAGAACTCAGCTGTCCCACCTCTCATACACTCTACCATCCTCTCACCCGTCACCATCGTGCCACAAAGCAGGTATTTCAAATACTACACTCAGTTCAATAACACTGACTCTCAAAAATCCTTGGCGCAATCTACTTGTCTTCCCACAATCAAAAGCTGGAGAAGCGTGACACTCCTACACGTGGACGAGCCGGCTGTATGGCTGAAGGCTGAATACCAAAATAGCATCTCACTGCATCACCGCACGAAGCACTGCAGCCAAGTTCCCCAACGAGCTCTAGAATCCTATCTTGCACGGGGATTGGTGGAGAATTCGAGGTATATAGTACAAGAAGTCCGGTAGCGATTTTGAAAAAAGCAAAAAAATCAATACATTCATCCATACTACATGTAGACCGGTACATTGGATACGAATGGACAGAGACTACTGTTCTGAGAATTGGATAGTACACAGATTCGGATATGGAGACGATTGCTGCTGCCTATTTGACGGGCAGTTAATATAAAGATAAGAATGAGAATCCGAGTTCTGAAAGATTGCTCTGCCTTGTCAAGTTGTTGGTTTCTGCTGAAGAGACCCTGGAAGTACACCCGATGCATTCCCTACACTTTGCACTTGCATGCGTGGCAACCTTTGCAAGCCTCGCAGTGAGTTTTCCTGGTAACGATGGTAAATAACAAACATTGACAGAAACCAGGCGACCCAGGGGACGATAACGATCACTCGAACGGCCATTACAGTCATCATCACAGAGCCGGAATCGACCACCATCAAAACTAGCACGTCGAAGAAACCAACCACCTCGAGCAAAGAAACAACGACCACTAAGTCCACAGCTGGCCCCGTGACTGTAACAATTACCGTCACGTCCACTGTGAAAGAATCCACGAAATCCACGACCAGCAAGAAGCCAACTTCTTCGACGATCAAACTACCAGCCACCACCCCTAAGCCGGAGGGTCCAAACACTACCAAGTGCCCGGTGCCATTGTATTATCCTTGTGGCGGTATTCGTTATGCTGGAGGTTGTACGGTGTGTGTTGCAGGAGCAACTTGCTTATCCCAGAATGGCATGTCTTACCTTCTCCCTCTAAGACTTATTAGCTAACAAATGACTCCACAGAATACTACTATCAATGTACTACCGTGTAATTCCAGTCCAGATGGAACGGGGAGGGTATAACGATCTTATTAGCTATCAAATAATCATCTAATCAACCCATCAATTGTCTGATATCCTCTGGAGGCCACCTAACTTGTGCAAAACTCAAGCATCTCTTGATACTTTGCAAGAACTTTCGGGTGACCTCGTCTCCCATGACATGTCCCTTGTCACTTTCGTGAAGTTTTTCCCGCGCACTACGTTCGTGAATACCAACCATAGTAACTCCGATGGGCCAAGCTGCCTTGCCAATACTCAATCTTAGATATCCATCATTTGCGTCAACGTATCGTCTTTCTTGAGCTGCTTTGACAATTTCCACAATGGGCTCGAGAACTCCTTCATCCAAGTCACCTTTTTCGAATTTTCGAAAGAGCTGGTCCTTGTTAGCTTTACTTTCATAAGATTGAATGTGTGGAATACTTACAGGTGTCATATTCTCCTTGCTCTGAACCATAGCATTATAAGCCGCCTTACTAGCAAAAGTATCCCGTTTCTCCTTATCCAGAGCCCCCTCCCACTCCGTCAAGACCATAGTAAAATACGAAGCCAACTGTCTGAACAAGAATTTCCGTCCCTCAGCATCCTTGGGCAGTTGATCGACCTTCATATCTCTCTCCTCCACCAACTCCAAAGACGTAGGAATAGGGCCTGTCGTCATAACGATCCCCAACTTCCTATACCTCCTCACCTTCTGCCTATGATTCTCCCCAAACAACTTTACAGGCTGCCCCATCTCCCTCAACTTCTCCACCAACTCTTCCTCCTTAATGTAATCCTCTTCTACCTCCTCTTCTGCCTCCTTAACCAACTCCGGCAACCCCAGTTTCTTCCTGCGCGATGCTTCCTCTTCAGCTTCTCTAGCTTCTCGCCGTATCCTTGATTCCTCCGCCAGCTTGGCTCGTTTGATTTCACGCGCGCGATTGGCCTCTAATTCTTCCTCTTCGCGTTTTCGTTTTTGGAGGTGCTTTGCATTCTTTTCTTCTTCAATTCGGCGCTGTTCTGCGGCGTATTCAGCCTGTCGCTCTGCTTCAACTTCTGCGCGCTTCATATACTTCTTCTTGGGCGCATCGGCTGCTGCGGTATTTGGTCGCGATTTCGAGATCGCATTCGACATGAGAGATGCGAAGTCCATGATTGCGAGTTTGTTGCGCATGCAACAATTGCTTTGTGTTGTGGAAGAGAGTGTTGCGTTGGATGGTGTATTTGAGGTTGTGAAGAGGCAGATGGGTTAGTGATGGCCACTGTATGAGGTCCGTAACGACAATCCGAAATTCACCAAGTCGCTTTCAACAACTCTATTCGCTGGTCAGTTGAAAGAGGACGTGTTTTAATTGAAACAGGGAAAGTTGTTGATCTTGTCAACCTTTAATCGCAGCAAGGCCAACTGAAAGCTCTTGGCAAGGCGCAACCCAATATTTCCAAAGCATCAACTTTTTGCGCCAACTCTCTCCAACGATTCTTCCCCCATCAGTGTTTCCATAATACCCAAGATCTGACTCCAATTACCACTATGGCAACCTCACCGATCAAGGTCGACCGACAGGCTACAACTCCTTTCCATCTTAAGTTGTTCTACAGAAATGGCGGTTTTCACAGGTAAACAACTCTCAGCCTTGCGTTCACCATGTACGCAAAAGACTAACAATCAACCAGACTCGACGAATTCACACCAAATGCCGATCTACCTCCACACCTCCAAATATACACATGGCAAACCTGTACCCTGCGCGAACTCTCTCACTTCCTTACCAGCGCCCTTCCCTCTCTACTTCCCGACCCAGCAATCGGCACTCGTCTAGCATTCCGATTGATCTTCCCTGACACACGGAACTCAGGAGCCAGCTCAGGAATCGGACGCTACATGATGAAGGAATTGGGTAGTATAGTGATTGGGGACGGTGGACCAGGCATCTTACCAGATGAGGACGAGGCTGAGATTGTTGCTGATGGACAGATGAGTGGTCCTTTGAGTGGTGAGCCCGACAAGACTTTACAGGATGCGAGGTTTGTGATTGGGGATTATGTTTCTTGTGCTATTCTACCGCCGCTGGAGAATGGAAGTGTGGCTCCACCGCCGGGAAATGCATCAAGAGGGGGTTTGGGAGGGAGGAGAGGTATGGGAGATTTTGGTCCTAGGGGTGGATTTGGGGGGCCTAGAGAGAATGGATTCAATGTTAGAGGGAGGGGTGGTTCTAAAGGGGGAAATTTTGGGCAAGGAATGGTTCCTTCTGGTGAGTGGAGGAGAGGTGAGAGAGTACCCGAGGGACCTTCAGGCGGAGGTGGAAGAGGTCGAGGTTATGGTGGTGGGGGTTATGGGGGAGGATTTGGTGGAGGGGGGAGGGGTAGATGGTAATAAAAACAAAAAGAAATGTAAAATAGGAACCAAGTATGCCAGGACTTGTGTTGGTAAACGCATTGCATACTTTCAAATAGTGTAGTAATCTCAAAAGGTTGGTGGACGTAGTTTCATATATCACCGTTTTTCCTTCCAAGTCCAGCCAGCTTCATTAATGCCGCACCATTCGCAGTGCTAAAATGAAATATAGTCCAAATTTCACATCATACTGCAATTGAAATTCTTCATAAGCTTCACTTGTGATTGTCGACTCGTGGTATTCCTTTAATATGTACAACCTCCACTTCAATGTTCCCACTTTAAAACTCAACAATGGTATCCCCCCTTCGTTTTCCACGCATCTCCCATTTTCCCTATTCAAACATAAGCATCTATTCCAAGCTAACTCTTCCACTCTGACTCTTCAAACATCTGACAACATACCTCGTATTTGTACGCAATGTATCCGACCAACGCCGGGAAGGCAAACATGTATGCGAAAGTGATTCTCGTAGTTCGTGCATTCCATCTGAAGTACTTGTATCTGTTGGTAACCACATCTGGGAGGTATCAATTAGAATCGTTCGTGTATGGATGTCGAGTGGGGGGTAGTACTGTTCATTTTGACCATCGCCGGGTCGAGCGCAATTGCTGGAGACATTGTTAGAATTTGTCAGATCAATTGGTAAAGGAGGAGTTCAATCATACGGTGGTGTCCGCCCGCCATCTTGAGTATGTTGGACGGTCTTGTGGGCTTGGGGTTTATGTCGATGTCGTTGAAGTCTGAAGCTCCCTCGTGCTTGGGCAGAACGTAATCCTTGTGGCCTTGAAGTTCGGGCCAAATTCAGGCGTCAACTCGATGAGATCAAGCTACAGTTATCAGGCGGGATAAGAAGGAGGGGCCGAGGTCCCAAAATACTCAAACTTAAAAGCAATTCTCCTCTTTCATAGATCCCCCAATTCTTACCAAAATCAAGCTCTTTTTTCCATTAATCTTCCAAGTATTTGATACAAAAACATATCAAGATGGCAACTACAGAAACCCCCAAAATTAAGCTCTACTGGTAAGCCAAGCAATCTCACGATACACACGGATGCATTCCGTCTTACTTACATGCACGCGTAGCCATTGTACCACATAACCTTTCACCATGCAAATCACTAACACACCATCCAGGCTCGAACAATCACGCTCTCAAAGAATCCTCTGGCTCCTCGAAGAACTCAAACTCCCATACGAGCTTGAAATCTTCCACCGTGATCCCGTCTCCCACCTAGCACCACCGGAGCTGAAAAAAGTCCACGCCTTGGGGAAATCACCCGTGATCTCTGTAAAAACCGCTGGAAACGCGGAGCCTCTTATCATCGCTGAAAGTGCGTTCATAATCGAGTATCTCCTTGATCATTTTGGGAAGGAAACTACTTTATTGCCGAAACGGTATAAAGATGGACAAGAAGGGAAAGTTGGCGGAGAATCAGAGGAATGGATGAGATTCAGATACTTTATGCACTACGCAGAAGGTAGTTTAATGACCTTGATGTTAATAGCAGTCGTCACAATGGGTAAGCTTCCTTACACCCAGCAAACAAAAACCGAAGCAAAAAACCTCACTAACAACCTTCCAGGCATCAAAAGCGCCCCAGTTCCCTTCTTCATAAAACCCATCACCTCAACCGTCGCCGGAAAAGTGAATTCCTCATTCCTGGACCCGAACTTCAAAACACACTTCGATTTCCTCGAAGCGCAAATCAAGTCTTCCCCCTCCAATGGCAAGTATCTCTGCGGTCCTAACTTGACAGGCGCGGATATCTTGATGAGTTTTCCGCTTATTGCGGGGAGGAAGAGAGCTGGTGTTACGGAGAAGACGTATCCCGCTGTTTACGCTTATACAGAGCGATTGAAGAAGGAGCCAGGGTATATTAAGGGAGTGGAGAAGATTGTTGCTATTGAGGGGAAGTTTGAGGAGAGCATTTAAATTTTAGGTGGGCAAGTTTGGTGGGGGTATGTTTGGAGTATTTTGGGTCTTATACGTGATCTATATATTTATATTAGCGAGGATTTAACGATAGAATTTCTCACTCATTTTGAGTGAATTTTTGTCTCCAAGAATCAAGGAAAAAATTAGCTTGATAACATACACCATCTTGGACAGACTACAGTACAAGGCGAGCTTATTCTACACCTCTCTGCTCATCACAAGGCAATAGTCGCCGAGCTTGTGTTATTACTAAGTTGCAAAGTAGGTAGTAGACTATTTGTTCACACAAACGAATTAAATCAGCAATTTAATCCTTCTACAATAAGATTTAAGATTATCTCAGCTTGCTATCCCGAGAACCAGGCACTTCAAAACTTATAGTCAGTTCTTTATATTGTCCATAAGTAAAGTGCTAGTCTTTTCTGAATAAGTAAAATCTTTTCTGACAACCTTGGATTTTGAAGTGAAGAATAGATAAGATACTATAGCTCTCTAATCAATGTGTGTCAACCGTTTAAATGAAGGCCCTATGTTCTGATGATTGTCTTCCCCTGAGTCGCGTACTGTACTTCTTTGGGTAGTTACTAGTTAGGAAGGAATGTATTGAAGTTGTGATAATGGAAGTTGGTATTCCGTCGAACTAGCTAAGGAAGAGAGCCTAGACACTCGTAGTAAGATTACCAAATACAGTTCCTAGCACTTCGGTGAAGTTCGGTCATCAGTGCCTTCTAGCGTAATCATTGCGTTGTTACTATGTGAGCTCTTCTTGATGGAATGTTAAGGAGATGGAATATTGTCATTATATTGAAAATATTCACTAATTTCTGTGTGGATGCTTGTCATGATGTTTACGTCACTTCGTTAGACGACTTACTGTAGAGAAGATTACATTTACAATTGAACTTGAGATGAGTTACAATCATAGAAAAGTGAAAGCTTCAAGTCTAATGTGAATCACAAATTACCGCAAGTCCTAATAACTGGAAAATCTGTATCATTCCAAGCGCTATAACAAAGCTCAATCCAAACCCCAATCACTCATCTTAACCCCCAAAAAACAATCAACCCATTTTTACGCCCCTCCAACCCAACCCATCGATCCTCAACCCTCAACTCCAAACCACTCCAAACCCCTCCCCGCGAAAACGAAACACCCCATCCACCCAATCCCATTCCCCTCCTCCCTATCTAACCAGCTAAATAACCTAAACCTTCTCCCTCCCCACCACCGCCCGTCCAGGGACCTTCAACCCCCCCTCCACCTCCCCCAAAACCCTCATCCGAATCCCCATCTCCCTCTCCTCCTCCCTTTCCCTCTCATCCCTCTTCCTCCCCTCCTCATCAGCCCACGAGTAGTTCCCCGCTCCACCGCGCCCACCTCTATATTTCGCCGTCGCTACGTTCGTCGCGGGCGTTTTGACGGGGATGATGGAGGGTGTGTATGAGGTGGTGGATGGGTTGACGGGAGTGAGTGATGTAATGTTGAAATCTGTGGAGGAGGGAGGGAGCGTGGAGGGTGGGACCCAGTTTCCTGCGCCGCCGCGGCCGGTGTGGGAGTATTCTGGTGGGGGGGCTGTGGTTTGGGGGGTTTTTGCGGGTTGAGAGGAGGTGGAGGAGGAGAGAGGTTGGGATTCGAGGGTTGAGGGGGTCTTCTTTGGGGGTTAGCTTTTGTTTGTTATTTTGTTTTTTGGGTTGTGATTGATGGGATGGATAGATGGGATGGATAGGATGGAATTGAGGGAGGCTAAGGGCGACGAGGAAAAGGATAGTAAATTCTTACCAAAGAAGAAGCAACATTCTTAACATCCTCCTTGCTATAAAAGTTCCCTGCTCCCCCACGACCTACTTTCCGGTATGGTTCTGTCATTGTCTCTCTCTCTCTCTCTCTCTCTCTCTCTCTCTCTCTCTGTGTGTGTGTGTGTTCCTCTACTCCTATCAGATGTATCTTCGAATCAGTCTGGTCTCCCTTCGCTTCTTTGTCGAGTGATTGATCCTTCTTCGAATTCTTATCGTCCTCAAGTAACAACCGTAATCCAATCCGAACTACGAGTTCAACGTATTTGTATCCGTCCCTCTTCTGCCCTCTTTAAAAAAAATCAATCTGTCAAAAGATCTTCACCTCTCACAAGATACTAAGATCTCTCACTCATCCCGTCCGAGGGTCTGTTGTCGTCATTAGCACTAGCATCTCCTCCCCTCGCTTACCCCCGTCCCCGTCCAGTCCCTTACCGATATGTACGTAAGGCTCGAAGCTTGAAACGTGACGTGCACCCGTCTCACTTGATCAGATCCGACCCCGATCCGGGGATGTTTGATATTTTGCTTTTTCTTTCCTCTTTCCATCCACCCAAGATCTTTTTCCCCGAGACCCTAGGGTCTCGGATGAAGAATTTTAAGGTTTAGTTACGAGCTTACGTAGCTGGACTACTGTAGTGTGGAAATGTTTTGCAGGTGTACAAGTACAGTACGTGCAGTATTAGGTATGGTGTACAAGTAACTCGTGATTCTCACCTATTTTACAGGGCAAGTGATGTGAGAGGAGAGGTATGTGCCGTGGCCAAGTGGGGTGAATTGCCGATCTCAGCGGGGTAATGATGTCCCCTCTCCCAATGACTGAGGGGAACGCAATTCACATTATTGGAGAATCCATCCGTGATTCTTTAAAGTACCTACAGTACGATCGTCACCTTCCCCTTCAGAGTACCAGTACAGTACGGTATGAATTCAATCCACCAATTCACCTACTCTCATCCTCATCTCAACCCTCACTTACAACCCCTTTCATCCTCATACTCAGGAACTTCCCTACTCCCTCATACAACAAACCAAAACCCATCCCAAAAAATCCACAGACCCACGAAAGAGTACCTCCTCTACAAATAGAAGACTACTCCAAGCCCACGCCGCTTTTCGCCTCTCCAAAAAAACAGAATCTAGATTCTAGACCATCTACACGTAGACCCCGTTCCAGAAGGTGGATCAAGAAAAGAAAAAAAACCAGAATTGACGAATAATCTGCTCGTGAGACGTCATAGGTAGCCTGTAGGGGAACCCTGGACTGCAGGTCCAGTCCGTCTTGGGATTGTGGTAATAAGTGGAATGGTAGCTTCTAGAATTTTTTGAGCTTGTGTGGGGAAGAGAGTGGTGTTAGGAGGGAGCTAGGCTAGGTAAGGTGGGGAAGCTGAACCAATCGTAGGATTTGGGGGATTGAGGGGAGTAGAGTGGGTTGTATGGTGTAGATGACGATTTTGGGAGTGGTATTAGGTAGGTAGTGGAGTTTTGTGGTCTTGTGAGGTTGATGATAGTGTGGAATTATTATATCTTAAAGCTCATTGTTAGAAGAATACCGAATGAATGTGGAATGTTAGTATTATTATACGTATAAAAATAACCTCCTGGTCACGATCTTACCGAAGACGAGGATTGGATTTAGACTACCCAAATTATATTCCATACCCCACATACACTCTACACCAAATAGCTAACAAGCTTACAAGGTATATAAATTTCAAACTTACCTCCTCCTACTACCTTACACGAAAAAAGAAAACAGGAGAGAAAGGGAAGCTTACCTTATAAACTTTCCACCCTACTAATAAAAAAAGAAGCCCCCTTTTCTAAATCTCCCTCCTATTACTCCCTCTTCTCCCTCTAAAAACCCCTAGGAATCCGATTTAAATCCCATATCACCTTTCCAGAAAACCAAAAGCTCTACCTAGAACCCTAGATCCCAACATAATACCTAGAATCCCTGATCGTTAGTTACTAATACTATAATCTACACTATTTCCCTCCTCCTACCTATAAGAACAGAATATAATTTAAACTTCAACATTTACTTCGTACTTCCTCACGGGATATATTTAACTTTCCGCGCGAGGCAAAGCGAAACATTCAAATTGAATTAAATTAAATTAACTTGAATTGAATTGCCGCAGGTAAATTTACGAGTAGTAAATATAATGGAGACGCATACGTCATAAGCATAGCCATCCATAGACATTACATCATAATAATAACAGAGAAGCGAAATGGGAAAACGAAAAATCCGAATCGAAAAAAAAATAAAAAATAGAAAGAGATAATAAGGTAAATAAATACAAAGCCCTTCCCACAGTCCATTTCATCTCGACACTTCAAAATCGTAATTCATCTTATATATCTGATATCTAGAAAGGATACTCTATATATTAACTATAGTAAGGTATAATCTTACGATACCTACCACTTCCATTTCACCCACCCACCTAGTACTTGTACTCTATAGTAAATTTCCACTTCTTAGCCCTTAGCTTTCTTGTATACCTACTCTACTCTACTCTACCTACATAGCTTAGAATGAATAATACAAGTACCATACTATATTAACTCGCTGCCGGATGTTGTACCTCATAAACCTCTTTTCCCTGCCTACTCCCTACTCCCCTCTCCCCTTGTAATCCATGGGTACGAGTAGCGAATCGACAATAATCTGCCTTGCCCTGCCTTGGGGGAATGAGATACAGTCTGCAGATACTCGGTAGGTACAGCACAAGTACAGCACAGTAGACGAATCAGCAACTCCAGCCACATCACATCACATCACGTACTAGTCAGTGATCGACGAACTTTTTCTTACTCGTACTCTATGAGTATAGGAGGCGGAATGACCCCGCTATTTCATTGCGTGCCCTTCCCTTCCCTTACCATCCCAGCGAGCCAGTACTGTAGAGGAGGTAGATCGTAGTGTAGATCATATCATCTAGACCCTTCTATTCCTATTCATATTTTTTGTTTGGTGATGGTGATGGGAAGGGAGAGAGGACTGACTGACTGGTGTTCATACAGTAGTGCACTATCGTGAAAGATTTTTTTCTTCTTCAAACGTGATCTGATGCGATTAGGAACCTGCAAAAAAAAAGAGTTTTATTATGAACTTGTCAGTCATTTGATAACGTATAGAAAGAAATTGTGATTGTGATTGTAAATTCAATCAGTTAACTGGCTGGCTGGCTGGCTGGCTGTCGTTAATAAATCATAGGTAATGAATCCCTCTCTCTCTTCAGCGCACTCATACCACTCCCATCAGCGGATTAGGTAGATTCCAACAAAACACCCCCCCCCCCCCCCC